CAGCAGCAGCAGTGAACCTCCCTTTCCCTTTTATTCCATCCAGGCTGCCAGCCTATTGGTTGCTGCCACTTACACCCAGCATGGGGACTCTCATTATCCACAGCTATGCTAAAACAATCAGTGGATTAGTTATCACACACTGTTAATCTGTATTCACACATCCTAGATCCAGCAACCTCTGAAAAACCTCACCTAAGAGCATTATGAGGCTTTGGGGGGACATTTAGACACAGGCCATAACAGAAGGTTTGGGGTTCTTATTCAGTGATAGAGCAAAATGTTTAGCATGTAAAAGACACTGTTCAATCCCCAACTCAAAAACTGAAAATTCAGAACAAAACAATAACAAAAAAGAATTATGTTGTTAGAATTAGCTAGAATTTGAAAATGGAGGTTAGGCTCAGTCCAAAAAGAGCAATATCTGAGTCTCTCTCATTTGTTTGAATTTCCTCCCTGTTCACTAAGCTATATACATCCTCCATATTTTGGCCCATTTAATTTTACCATGCCTGTGGGATACATTATTAGATTGTGCAAAAATATTTATTGTTCCACACACCAAAGCACTGACCCAAGATATAACTGTTCATCCCAAGTCAGGTAAATTCTTAGCAATGAGAACTTGATGGAAGTGTCTTGAATCCAGTTTCCGTATAATTTGGGTTTTAAAAATGGAGCGTGTGTGTTCGTGTGTTAGACTGGTAAACCTGTCGTGTAACAATATTTGTTGTGGGACTTTGCAAAGCATTTTAATCAACATTTCCTTTGTTTTTACTCCAGCTGTACTCTAAAGTACTTTACATGGGCTTGTGTTTGTGAATCAAGGAACAGGTTGTTCAAAATACCATTAACCTTAGGCAATGCAATTAAAGTAATATTGAAGGTGGGCCTAGTGGCCCATGTCTGTAATTCCAGCACTCCAGGAGGCTGAGGCAGGAGGATGGCAACTTTGAGTCCTGCCCAGACTGTCTCTCAAAAATAAAAACAGCTGAAGATTTAGCTCAGTGTGAAGACCCTGGATCTAACCTCCAATCTCTAAGATATATATATATCATTACCCTTTCAGTTTTTTAACTTTTTTTTTTAAATTTTTATTTTTGTACTGGTGGTTAAACTCATGACCTTGTGCTTGCCAGGCAGGCACTGTGCTGCTAAGCTATATCCCCAGCCTAACATGGTGGAAAAGTGTTTCTTTTATCCCACAGCCCGTCCAACATTTGTTATTAGTTGATTTCTTTGATAGTTGCCATTCTTTCTGAAGTGAGATGGAACCTCAGAATTGTTTCAATTTGCATTTCTCAAGTGACCATGATATTGAACATCTGTTGGTATATTAACTGTGTGTTTGAGAAGAGTCTGTTCATTTCAGACGCCCATTTTCAGACTGGGTTTTTTAATTCCAAGGGTCTGATTTTTTAAAGTTTTTTATGTATTCCAGAAGTTAATCCTCTGGCTGAGGAATAAATGGTCAAAACATTTTCCCTCCCAGTATTGTGGCGCATGCCTTAATTTCAGCATTCAGGAAGATCTCCACAAGTTCAAGACCAGCCTGGGCTACATAGTGAGTTCAGGACCTGGCTGAACTACATAGCAAGATCCTGTTTTAAAAAACCAAAAAAGTGTTTATTATTCTGTAGCTTGTCTCTTCACTGTCAGTGGTTTCTTTTGCTGTGAAAAAGCTTTTTATATGATCCCAGTTGCTTATACTTTGTAATATTTCTTGTGCAACAGGAGTTCTGTTCATAAAATCTTTGCCTATTATTTTTCATCAAGAGTGTGCAATGTTCTATCTTTCAGCAGATTAATATTTAACTTTTTTCAATTTTAGAGCTTTGATTCACTTAAATTTTAGTTTAGTGCATGGTGAACGTCCATTTTATTTATTTACTTATTTATTTAGAGACAGGGTCTTGCTGCATAATTCAGGTGGCCTTGAACTCACTGTCTAGTCCAGGCTGGTCTCAAACTTGCAGACATCCTCTTACCTAAGCCTCTTGAGGTTTATGTTCAGTTTTTGGCATGTGGAAAACCAGTATTCCAAGCACCATTTCTCTTTTTTTTTTTGTCTTTTTCCTTTTTATCGGTACCGGGGATTGAACTCACGACTGCCTGCTTGCAAGGCAGGTGCTTATGCCGCTGAGCTAAACCTCCAGCCCTCCAGCACCATTTCTTAAAGAGGTTTTCTTTCTTTATCTGGACTCATGTGGGGAAAAAAAAAAAAAAAAAAGAGGTTTTCTTTCTGTGAAGGTAGTTGTCCCCTTTGTCAAAGTAAAGATTTTTGGTGTTGTTTCTGCATTCTGTTCCACTGATCTTCAATTTTAAAGTCCCCGGTTTAAACAAAAAGTTGGCTATATATGAAGTTTAACATTTAAAGGGATATCAATTTTAATGCTTTTTGTGAGAACAGATTCTTGTTTCAGATTTATGTCTAGCGTATACCTTATAACCACAAAATTGTCCAGGATCAATGGTAAGGAGTCTCCTTTAGGACGAGACTTCCAAAGTATGATGTGTACCTATGAACCATCACAGACAACTGCATTCAGCCTAGGTCTTGTGATGACCTTTTTAGTTTTGAATATAAAGTACCTGTCCCTTTGACACTGATTAATGAAAGTGTATGTGTCAGATTTATCTGTTGAGGAACAGCACAAAAATCTGGTTGCCATGGCTCGTGTCTAGATGTTCCCCCAAAGTCTCATGTGTTCAACGGGCTTTTCCAGAGGTGGTGGAATCTAGAGATAAAGGCACAAAGTTTATGTGATTAGTAAATCAGCCCAATGGTCAGTTGGGCATAATTCTGGCTAGGATGAGGTGTGAATGCTACACCTGCTCTGAGGGGATAGTCTGCATACAAGGCAAGACAGGGTCTTTTTTCTCTGTCATTGCTTTTGCTGTCCTGTGCCACCATGAATGGTTGCCCCTTTCCCTTGTGCCACCCTGCCTTGCAGCCCACTGATTATGGACTGAAACTTCTACAAACGGTGAGCTAAAGAAACCTTTCCCCCTTTAACTTCTGGGGTCAGGTATTTTGGCTTAGCAATGCGAGAAAAGTAACTAAGACACTGGATGCAATTCGAAGCGAGTCATGGTGGCACATGCCTGTAATCTCAGCTGCTCAGGAGGCCAAGGCAGGACTGCAAATTCAAGGTTAGCCTGGGCTCACCTTGCTCTCAAAATTATAAAAAGGGCTTAGGATATAGCTCAGTGGCAGAATGCTTGTCTGGCATGCATAAGGCTCTTTAAAAAAAAAAAAAAGATGTTTTTAATAATGCTAAAACAGGGACTGGGGAATTAGCTCAGCGGCATAAGCGCCTGCATTGCAAGCACGCGGTCATGACTTTGATCCCCGGGACCGATAAAAATAAATAAAGAAAGAAAGAATGCTAAAACCTGTTCTATGGTATTTGAGTGATTTTATTCTGCTTGCGTTTTCAGAACTAATAGAAATAGTGCAATTCAACAACCATTAACTATCATGGCAGACTCTGAGCGTCTGTGGTTTTGTACAGTTAGTGTGTTGCTGTGAAAGTTGTCTCTTTTTGTTTGACATAGGGTCTCATTATGTAACTCAGGATGGCTTCGAATTCTCAATGATCATCCCGCCTCAGCCTCCTGAGTGCTAGAATTAGGAGCCTGAGCTACTATGCCCAGGACCATCTTTCCATAGCTCTTGCCTCCTGGCCATTTGCTCAACCCTGAGGTAGACATTTTAATTTGGCTTGTCATATTTTAAAATGGCTCTCTGTAATTTAATCCTTTAAGTCACCATTACGTTCCTGTCAGGAAACTCATGCATATATGGCATTTTAATGTGGCTTACTAGCAATGTCCTCAGAAAGAACTGTCATGCACATTAACTCACTGGCTAAGGCCTGATGGCAAATAGATGATTATCCCTTAAAATGCCCCCTACTGACCTTGTGGCCAGCTCAGTTCCTCAAATAACGCTATGATGCTTGTGCAACGCTGTAATCTTCTAGCACATTTCTAAAAACTGAGAGGCCTGGAGGACGTACGGTTAGTTAGAAACAATTACTTTTAATTCCGAGTTTGTCATCTGATGCAATTCATTTAATAAGTGAAATAAAAAGGTCATGACTGTGTCAAGCTTTACTTTTCTTAGATTTGGGGCTTAAAATGACCTCGAAGTAGAGAAAAAAACAGAACTGCCCTTCCATTACAGTAGGCAGGGTCCAGCCAGCAAGACAAGCCCTTAATACCCGGAGAACCGCCGCTTCAAGGCCCCGCCCGCAGAGCTGGACCATGTTTGTCTGCAAGACAGGCAGGCGGTACTCTTGAATTTCCCTCTTCATCGGACACGCATGTTACATACTCCCTAGTGAGTATCACACGCACATCCCAGGTCCCGTATCCCGGAGACTCCCTGGAAAATACGCCCGAAGGGCGTGGTGTCCCACTCGTCCCACCAGGGACCGGGTGGGGACGTCCACAGGCCCTGTCTGATGAACTCAGCAGCCTACTAGACGCGCCCGCCCGGCAGGAGGTGACTAAACCCTGGGCCGCGGGCCCGGGAGGTGCGACCCACACAGGGGACTGACCGCCGGCCCGCGCGGGGCTGCAGGCCGGAAACGGCGCGGCTCCTTCCGGTCGCCTGGGCCAGTTCCCGGAGTCCAGAGGACCTCACGCGCTCGCGAAGCGCCTCAGCGCCCACAGACCCCAGGAAGGGGCAGCAGCTAAGCGGCTGTCAGGACCCTGAGTCTCGACCCGCAACTCCAGGACATCCTGGAAAGCGGCCTAGTGTTCCCCGCGTGCCCAGCTCCCGCATAGCGGATCTGCGGCGCGACCCTGACGGCGGGGGCGGGGCCGCTGAGCTGGCGCGAGCTGATTCGCTCTCCAGATCCGGGGCGGGGCTACCGGGACAGCCCCGCCTCTCCAGCCCGGCCCCGCCCCGCCCCCGAGCCCGGGAGGAAACCCGCGCCTGGGCAGCGGGAGGTGGAGCCGGGCAGCGGCGGGGGCAGAGTCCGGGAGGGCCTGGCTGAGGAATGAAGCCTCCGCCTTCGCGGGAGACCCCTTTAAATTCGGGCGCGGGCCCGGGACTCGGCGCGTGGCGTTCGGCGGCCTGAAGGGGGATCCAGCGGAGCTGCGCGCTGTGGAGGAAGGAGCAGGCCGGGAGCGTGCGGGAGTGGAGCGGCTGCAGCGCGGGGCGTGGACGCGGACGCGGGTGAGCGCGCCCGGCGGCTGCGCTGCAGGGCCCCGCGGGGGCGGCGCCCTCCGGCGCGGGCTGCGCTTAGCGGGCGCCGGGCACTCGGATCGGGCGGCCTGAGCTCTGCGCGGGGCGCGCTCCGGACCGCAGCCGGCGAGGCTTCCCCGCCGCCCGAGACGCCCTCTCCACCGGGGCCCCAGCTTGGTCTCGGAGCCCTGGTCTTTGTTCGGGCTTGGAGTCTCCTTTGCTGCTTTTCTCTGGACCCCTCTTTGGGAAACCACAGAGCAGAGGAATCGGGAAAGCCCTTGGCAGGGCGGCATCTTGGCTGTGTCGTGATTTCTGTCGGGCGGCCTTGCTGTCTGTATGTCAGGGGAGGCCGATTTGGGTGTGTGTGTGAGATCTTGACACGCTTCTTGTCTGCCTAGGAACTAGTTAAGTAGGTTTGGGAATTCTGGTATAGAGCAGACAGGGCTCCATTGGGAGGGTGCTCTTCACGGATACAGAGAAGTAGCTGACCATCGACTAACCTCAAGACACAGTGAGTCCTTTCAGTTTCTCTGACTGGCCTAAGAAATGCAGGACAGTAGTGTGGTTTGTTTTTTTCAGAAGGGTTCTGGAAATGAAAGAGCTGTCTGTCTACGCGGGATGTGCGTTTTAGTACCCAGCATCTAAAGTGCTAGACAACTCCCGAAAGGATCCCATCTTTCCTTTCATTGCTGTTCTCCTTTCTCCAACACAAGATCTGTTACTGATAAGTGTGCTCTATCTTCCCTCTTGTGCTTTCCAAAGCTTTATAGAATGCCCTCTAGGTAGAAAACGAACGCCATCATTCTTACTGAAATATTTTTTCTTGGCCAAGTGTGATGGTACATGTTTGAATCCTGGCTGTTTGCACCAGGAGGATCATACATTTGAGGCCAGCCTGGGCAACTGAGCAACTTAGGGTAAGACAAAAAAAGGCTGGGAGCCAGGCATGGTGGCACACACCTGTAATCCCAGTATTGTGGAAAGCTGAGTCGGGAGGATTGCAAGATTGAGGCCAACGTGTACAGTTTAGCAAGGTCCTGTCTCAAAAAGGGGGTGGCGATGCTGGGATGTATTCAGTAGTAGAGCACTTGCTTAACAAGTGTGAAGCCTTGGGTTTGATTCTGTGTGTCTGTCTTTCTATCTGTCTATGTTTAACTGGATCAGGCATCTTTTAATATTTAGCTTCTAGAAACGGCTTAGATGATGTGTGGAATTGCTGGACACCCCCTAATGCCCATTGCTTAGTTCCTGGGTACCTGTGAAGAGTATACTGAAGAGACTTGTTTGGATTTGTATTATAGGGTATCATTCGTTAATGGCATCTTCAGGGCCAAAATGTTAATGAGCACTTAGGGAATTTTGCCATGAAGAATAGTTTTGGAATGTCTTGGTTTATTGTGATTCCCAAAATACAGAATTGAAAACTCATTTCAAAATGACTTATTCAGTAAGCAAATATTTCTATTTGTGACGGCAAAATAGAGGTCAGAGCGTATGATAAAGTAGATACAGGAAATGAAATCAGAAGACACACCGTAAAAAGTATCAAGACTAAGACTATATCAAGCTTCATGTTCAAGTTTACTGAGAATTTTATTGAAACTTCCCAATGACCATTTATTTTGGTTTGTACAGGTTGTGTGTTTAGTTTGCCATTAGTTTTCTCATTGTCATCTACAAATCATACTTCACCTGAAATGGCAAAACAAGATTACTCTAAATGATGTTCTAAAGCATACCCAGTTCTGTCTCACAAGTTCACCATCGGAAGTTACTCCAGCTGTTTTATGGAAGGGTCGCTGGGACACAGTTGTGTCAAAATCAAGGGAGATGTATAACTGTGGGAAACATACACATGCTAGATGGCTAGAACAAAGAAAGTATGGTAGCATTCTCGTTGCTCACTGTAAAATCCTGTCATCAGCCCTCTGAACTAAAGCTGTGGAATCAGATGCCTCAACTCAAACTGCCGTGTGTAGTTATTGTTCAATTATTCAGTGACGATTTATCAAGGGGCTACCATTCTGGTGCTGATTATGTAGCCGTAACAGCAGCAGATAAAAATTGCTGGCCTTTGTGTGCCGTGTTAAACTATGAACTCCTTAGCCCAGGAGTTGTACCAGGTACGCATTCAGTCAGGTTTATTATGCAATCATTACCAGAACCTGATCTGGCTGTCTTACCCCCTGCTGATCTCTTGGCTGTGGGATTAGGTGGTAACACTGAAAAAGGCTCTGGTCTAGAATTACTTTTTCTTAAACCATATTAGGGATTAAACCCAAGACCTGCAAACTGAGCTATATCCCTGGCCCTTTTTAAATGTTTTATTTTCAAACAGGGTCTTGCTAAAATCACTAAATTACCCAGGCTGGCCTTAAACTCACAATCCTCCTACCTTAGCCTTCTAGAGTGCTGAGATTACAGGTGTGTGCAGTTTAAAATAGACATTGCAGCAAATACTGTGTTGTTTTTGTTCTTAACCCTCCTTTCCAGTCTCTGGGTTTATAACTCTGTTTTGACCCCCCCACCCCATTTCAGCTAGAGTAGCTGTTAGCTACATTGCTGTCATTGATTATTATGGTTATATTCAGCTGTGTTACACTGTTACAATTTACAGTTTTACAAATTGTTACAGTTACACTTCCTGAGAAAGATGTTGACTTTTTTTTCGATGGGTTCCATACTAGGAGACAATTACTCTGGTGGCTTTTTTTGGACTCTAGTGCTGGGGATTCAATCTACAGCCTGTGTACTGAGCGAAACATCCAGTATTTTTTTTTTTTTTAGAAAACACTTTGAAGGTTGGCATTATGGTGCATAACTGTAATCCTGGCACTCAGGAGGCTGAGGCAGTACAGTGGTAAACATAAGGCCAATCTGGGGTACCTAGTGAGTTCACACCAATCTATTACTTTTTTTTTTTATATACCGGGGATCAAACTCATGACCCAGCACTTGGCAAGCAGGTGCTTATGCCACTGAGGTAAACCTCCAGCTTGAACCCAATCTGTTTCTAAAAAAATAAAATAAACTTTTTTTTTTTTTGAGACAGAGTCTTACTATGCAGTCCAGGCTGGCTATGAACTCACTGTGCAGCTCAGGCTAGCCTTAAACACTCAGCAGTCCTCTTGCCTCAGCCTCCCAAGTTCTGAGATTGCAGACATGCATAACCATGCCTAACAAACAGTTTAAAATATTTAAAATTTTGAGAAAGGATCTCACTAAACTGTTAAGTCTCTCAGCTGGGCTCAGATGTCCTCCTGCTTCAGCCTTCCAGAGTTCCGCCTCGCTGCTTAATACCCACATAACATACTTGTTCAACTGAGCAGATCTCTTCACTTCTCTAGACTCATTCCTGTATGTCTGTCTTCCTTTTCTCTCCTCGGAAATGCTCTTCCCTGCTTCCTTCTAAATGCTTACTATCCTTTAAGCCAAGCTGAGGTTCTAAATCTGCCTTGAAACCATCTCTGCTTGTTTGTTTCCTTCCTTCCTCCCTCCTTCCCTGTCTTTCTGTCCTTTCTTTTCCCTTCCCATCCCTATTTATTTCTTTTTTGGAGACAGGGTCTCACTATGCATTCCTTAAACTCTGTAACTCAGGCTGGCCTTGATCTTGCAGCGATCTTCCTGCCTCAGCCTCAGGCATGTGCTACCATGCCTGGCTTAGGCCGTTTGTCTACATGGCCAAATTTTGTGCATGCTCTTAAACTGGAATAACTTTTTTTTTCACAAAGGAGAAGGTATGGGGCTGGATAAGGTAATGGGACTGTTCTGAGCGCAGAAGCCACGCTGTCCCTATGGCAGAGGCAGGGATAGCTTTAGCAGGCTTGCCAAGGACCCAGCTGTCCCAGGCACTGTGGAAGTATAGGCTTTACGCTATCTGTGTTTCTCCTGTCATCTTTCCCAGCTACATAAGTAGGTTATTTTTCCAAGTATGTAGCACATGAGGCCTGGAAAGTGGGAAAGATCAACTGGAAAGTAAAAGGTGGGTGAGGCAAAGAGAATGAGGTCACCGGCAGTAGATGTGGCAGGCTGGAGCTGGGCATGGTGGTGCATTGGCTTGGTATTGTCACTGAGGTGAATCATGGAATATTAGTAGGAATATTATATTTTTATGGCTTTATAAGTAATGATGGAGAACTACTAACTCACTTATGTAGGCAAAAATTTACTAGCTCTGGTGTGGTTTAATATTTCCTGGTAACTATCTCTGTGCAGTGGATAGTGTGCAACTATTGAAAAGGAGGGGTGGGAGCCGGGTGAAATGGTCCTTACCTGTAACCCCAGCTGTTTGTGAGGCTGAGGCAGGAGGACTGCAAAATCGAGGCCAGTCTAGACAACTTAGGAAGACCATGGCAAGTGGACCTGGAGAGTGTGTTGGAGGTTCTAGCGGGGGAGTGCAGCCGTCCTGTACCCTTGATGGAGAAAACGCTCTTTTGTGGGAGTGGTTGTCCTTTTCCACTCAATGCCAGCTCCAGCGTAGTGTTGGAGCCTGCCTGGCGTGACCGAGGCCCAGGGTTCAGTCTGTCTTAGCTCATGGTTCTGGGTGGGGGCGATTACCGTGCAAGGTCTGGCATCTGGCACGGGTTTTTCTGCTGTGTCATTCCCTGGAGGAAGGGCAAGGAGAGTGGGAGCTTGGTTATAATAGGTGCTAATCCACAGGTGAGGGCGTGGCTTCCTGAGGTGAACCCGTCTCCCTGGCCCCATTGCCCACTGACCACTGCCCACTGCCCAGCTCAGGGTGTTGGCAAATTCAGCACCCAGCACAAGCTTTGCTTGGTACGGGATCGGAACCACGGCAGGGATTGGGATCTCAGGTCTGGACTATGGGAGCAGTTTAATATTAGTCATGTTAGTCCAAACCTGCCATAAAACTTACCTTTGTACGTCAGCGATGACTTGCACAAATTGCAGTTGAACAAAAATTGCACTGCTGTGTAAATTTCCCCTGCAACTTTCCATTAGCAAAGTTGGCCCTCCGTGTGTGTGTGTGTGTGTGTGTGTGTGTGTGTGCACACGCACGCGCATGGGAGGACACGGGTAGAACCCACAGGCTTTCTGCTGAGCTACACTTCAACCCTTTTGAAATTACTTCTTTTTTAGGGGAAGGGGCTACCGGGGATCAAACTCAACCTTGCACTTGCCAGGCAGGCGCTTCTGCCACTGGGCCAAATCCCTGGCCCATTATGTTTCTTTTGAGAAGGGGTCTTGCTAGGTTGCTCAGGCTGGTCTTGAATATACAGTCCTGCCTCAGCATCCCACAACGCTGGGCTGCCTGCAGCCCGCTTGTCTTTGTTTACTGGGGCTTAGGTAAGACTTTCTTTGCTTCTTGACTTCCTGAAGCCTGCATCGCTGTGAATTGTGAGCTCTTCTCTGGTAATCTCGTTACTCTTAGTTCTGTGTATCTGCTGTGTGCTGTGCAGCTGAGAGCAGGCCGGCTAACCCAGCAGAATCCTATGTTAGTGCTTGTCAGCGTTCTTTCCTAATTCATAGGGCTGACTCCAGGAAAGCTTTCCACCTTCCTTTCACTTCGGCAGTTTTTATGAAGTGGGATGAACTGCTGTGTGATTTCCTGAAATGTTTTGTTCCGGGACTAGCGTATTTTTTCTGTTTCCTTTCCAGTGCAACCATGTTTGAAATTAAGAAGATCTGTTGCATCGGTGCAGGCTATGTCGGGGGGCCCACCTGCAGTGTCATTGCTCAGATGTGCCCTGAGATCAAGGTGACGGTTGTGGATGTCAATGAGTTAAGAATCAATGCGTGGAACTCTCCTACCCTTCCTATTTATGAGGTAAACATTAAACAGCACTTTCTTCTTGAGCTTTGCTTTTCTTTTTGTCAGTTTGTTTCTTTTTTTCTTCTTAAGAAATTCTCAGAGGCCTATTAGGGATACTTTATTTATTTTTTGTATTGGGAATCGAACTCAGGACCTTGTGCTTGCCAGGTAAGTGCTTTACTGCTAAGCTATATCCCTGCTGGGACATCTTTTTGTTGTTGTTGTTGGTCCATTTTGGATATGCATATTCATCATAGGGAATTTGTACCGTAGGTGATGTATCTTGCTGCTGCTTTTTCTCTGTTCCCCTTCCCTCCCTTCAACAACCCCTTTGTCCCTGTCGTGTTTTTTGTTGTTGCTGGGTTTTTTTTTTTTTTTTTTTTTTTTGAGTCAGGTTTACCTTGTACTCACCGTGTTACCAAGGCTGGGCTCAAACTCAGCGGTCTTCCTGACTCAGCCTCCTGAGTACTGGGGATACAGGAGTGCACCACCACATCCAACTTTCCTCTCCTTTGTAATAAGAGCTTTATGTTTTTTTCATTCTATTTTTTTCTTGTCCCTTTTTTACCTTCCTCCTTTCCCCCTCTCATTTGAATATTTTCTTACCATTTCTCATTATTTATTATATATATTATACATTTTGGTCCTTATTTGCACTTTTGATTTCTCACACCAGAGAAACCATGTGATATTTATATGTGTGCCGAATTTATTTCACTCGAAAGTATAGTCTTGGTGTATCCATTTAACTAGAAAGTTCTCAAGCTTATCCTTAATTATAGCAGAGTAATACTCCATCATATATATATATATATATATATATATATATATATATATATATAAACCTTCTTTGTCCCTTCACTGATTGATGGGCATCAAGATTTAGCTATTAGAAACTGCTGCTATAAACGTGTGTATATGTATCACTATGGTTTGATGCTTTTAATTCTTTTGCGAAGAAGGGGCATGGCTGGGTCAAATGTTTCGGTTTTTTGACTGATTTCCACGGTGGTTGCACCATCTACACCCCCACCAACAGTGAGGAAGGGTTCTCTTTTCCCTGCAGCCCCATCAGCATTTGTTGTCAGTTGGTTTCTTGATGCAGCCATTCTTCCTGGAGTGAGATCGAGTCTCACCATAGTTTTAATGTGCATCTCTCAAATGACCAGTGATGTTGAACATTTGTCCATATGTTTACTTGCTGTTTCTACTTCTTCATTTGAAACTTCTCTGTTCATTTCAGTTATCCATTTTTTAGTTAGGTTTTAAATTTGGGGAGTTCTGATTTTTTTAAGATCTTTACATATTATAGATAGTAATCCTTTGTCTGAGGTACAGCTGGCAAATATTTTTTCCCACTTTGTGGTTTGTCTCTTCACTCTGTTGGTGGTTTCTCTTGCTGTGCAAAAGGTTTTTAACAAGATGAGATCCCAGTTGTTGATTCCTTGTGATAGTTCCTGTGCAATAAAGTCTTTGCCTACATCAATGTCTTTAAGAGTTCTACTCAGTAGATACTCCATTGTATCTCCCAGCAGATTTTAATATTCAGATTTTTGATCCATTTCAATTTTAGTTTAGTGCATGGTCAAAGATATGGGTCTAGTTTTAATCTTTGGCATGTGGACAAACATTAGCACTGTTCATTCATTTATTTATTTTGTCTTTTTGAGACAGAGTCTTAGTATGAAGTTCAGGTTGGCCTTGAACTTGTTTTGTAGCACCAGCGGGCCTCAAACTCACAGTGATCCTCTTGCTTCAGCCTCCTGAGTGCTGGGATTATAGTCATGTGCCATCTACCACTGTTTATTAAAGATACTATCTTTCAATGAAGGTTATTGGCTTCTTTATCAAAGATACAGTGACTGCCCCTCGCATTTAGAGCTGTTTCAGCATCTTCTAATCTGTTCTATTGATCCTCTTAGGTCTGTGTTTTGCCAGTACCATGCTGACTTTTTAAAATTACCATACTGATTTTATTACAGTAGTTTTGTAGTATAATTTCAAGTCAGGGATTGTGATGCCTCTGTATTGCGTTTGTTGTCTTCTGGTTCTAGATGAATTTTAGGATTATTTCTCTAACTCTGTGAGATATGCTATTGTAATTTTGATTGGAATTACATTAAATCTATATAAAATTTTGGAAATATGACCATTCTCACTATATTGGTTCTTTCTACCCAAGAACAAGGGATACCTTTCCTTTTTCTGATCTCCTCTTCAGTCTCTTTTTTCAACATCCTATAATTTTTTTCCTGTAACTTTCAATGTAAAGTTCATTTTACTTCCTTTCTTAGACTGATTCTCAGATATTTCCTTTTTTTTTGGATGCTATTGTGAAAGGAATAGTTTTCCTAATTTCTCTCTCAGGGAGATTACTGTTTGTGTACAGGAATGCTATTGATTTTTTGAATATTGACTTTGTGTGACAAAATTTGTTTTTGAATCTAGAAGTCTTTTGTTGCAGTTTTGAGGTCTTCTATTTAGTGTATCATGTCATGCACAAATTATGATAATTTAACTTCTTTGTCTATTTTTATTCCTTTATATTTCTTTCTCTTGTCTAATTGTCTGTTTGAAGTTTCTAGAACTGTATTGAATAAGAGTGCTAACAATGGACATCCTTGTCTTGTTCCTGATTTTATTATTTTTATTTTTCTGTATGCATGCATGCATGTATGTGAGTATTGGTTTTTTTGAGACAGGGTCTCGCTGTTCAGTTCAGGTTGGCCTTGAGCTCGCTTTGTAAACAAGGCTGGTTTTGAACTCGAAACAATTGTCTTTCCTCTGCCTCTTGAGTGTTGGGATTACAGGTGTGCTCTACCACACTCGGCTGAGAATTTTTATATCTTCTTAATTCAGCTTTGGTAATTCATATGTATCTAGGAACCTGTCCATTTTTTCTGTTGTTGGTCTTCTGGATGTCTGCAGGATCATTCTTTTTACTCCTAATTGCATGGATTTGAGCTTTTCCTTTCCTTTTTTTGATAAGATTGGCTAAGAGTTTGTCAGTTTTATTTACCTTTCAAAGAACTAATTCTTTGATTCATTGATTCCTTGTACTGTTTCTTAGTTTCCATTGCATTAATTTCTGGTCTAAACTTTTTGTTTGTTTTTTGGATTTTTTTTTTTTTTTGGTACTAGGGATCAAACTTAGGAGCTTACATTTGCTCTGCTCTAATCTTTATAATTTCCTCCCTTATATGAGCTGCGGGCTTGACTTGTTCTGTTTTTTCTAGAAGCTTGAGGTACAACATTAGATTATTTGAGCTTGCTCTGTTTTTCTTTTTTTTTTTTTTTTTTTTTTGGTCTTTTTCGTTTTTATCGGTACCAGGGATCGAACTCACGACTGCCTGCTTGCAAGGCAGGTGCTTATGCTGCTGAGCTAAAAATCCCCAGCCCGCTTGCTCTGTTTTGATACAAGGATTCACTGCTATAAATTTCCTTATAGGACTTTCCTTGTGTCCCCTAAGTTCCTGTATGCTCTACTGGCATTTTCATTTAACTCTAGAAACTCTAATTTCTTCCTTTATTTCATGTGTGACCCATTGGTTGTTCAGGAGGGTGTTATTTAATTTTCCATGTGTTTATGACGTTCTTGTGGTTTCTTTTGCCATTGATGTCCAGTTTTACTGCACTATGGCCTGAAAATATGCATAGAGGGTAATTTCAGTTCCTTTGCATTTACTTAACCATGTTCTGTGAGCCACTATGTGGTGTATTTTGGGGAAAGTCCCACGTGCAGCTGAGAAGAGTGTGTGTTCTGATGTGGAGTGGAGCACTCTGTGGACTTTCACTAGGTCCATTTGTTCACAGGTTTGGTTCAGTTTGATATTTCTTTGTTGATTTTTTTGCCTAGTTCATCTATCTCTTTGTTATAGTAGGGTACTGAGGTTCCCTGTTACACTGTATTAGTGTTTATTTGATTTTTCATGTCCATTAATATTTGTTTTGTATAGTTGGGTGCATTAGTATTTGTTGCATGTATATTCATGATTGTTCTCTTCATTTTGGATTATTCCCTTTTCAAGGATATAGTGACCATCTGAGTCTCTCTTGGTTTGCAAAGTCCACTTTGTTTGCAAATGGAATAGCTACCCCTGCTTTTTTCCAGATTCTTGTGGCATGGAGTATAGTTTTTTATCCTTTGACTTTCAGTCGGGGGTGGAGGGAGAGAGAGGGAGAGAAAGGCAGACGAATGTTGTTGAGAACTATTTTTTGGCATATGATTTTTTAATTTATTATTTATTATTTGTTTATTTATTTATTTATTTTTGAGACAGAGTCTTACTATGTAGCCCAGGCTAGCCTTGAATTCATAATCGTCCTGCCTCAGCCTCCCAAGTGCTGAGATTACAGATGTGTGCCACTACCCCCAGCCTTCAACCAGGGTTTCTTAGAGAAACACCATATATGTATGTATAGCTGAAATATTGACATTCACAGCCAGTCTGTGGGCTGAATTGAGAGTATAACTGTATTCATAATGACAGTGCAAAATCTGTGTACTCCAAGTCAGAGGGCCTTGAGTATCTTGAAAAGTGAGTCAATAAGAGTTAATAGTTAACTTTTAGGAAGCAATCAGGTACACAGTAAACAGTGACAAAATATTTTAGAGTTATTGTTGGTTGTGCAAGTCCAAGTTTGCTTTATTTCATGATGACATAATATGCACTTGTGGCATTTTGTGTAGGATCCTTGTCTTTTCTATAAAGGGTTTATTTAAGAGCAAATTAGACCTTTAAGTTACAACATAACCTTTCTTTTTTAACAAATAATATACTATTATCATATCCTGAGTACAGCTCTGTCTTGGTTACTTTTCTCTCCTTCCTGAGACAAAATATTTGACACCCAAAATGAAGGAAGGAAAGGTTTATTTTTTATTTTTAGGAAACGTTCATTTAGCTTATAATTTATGGAGGTTTCAATCTGTACTCTGCTGGCTGCAAGGCAGGGTGCTGTGGCTGAGGGGGCAACGTTCACACCAGCCTCAAACAACCAAAATGAAAAGGGCAAAAGGGAAAAGCATGCTCCTTTCCTCCCTTATATTGTATGCCGGCTCCCTGCCCCTGGGCAGGTGTGGCACTCACACTGCCAATCCCAGTGCTAGACAGTGAACCAATCACAAACACTGGATTCAGCTGCCTCCATGACTGCATGAAGCTTTGCGGGAACATGTAAATACCAACCGTAACAAGCTCCTTTTCTTTTTTCTTCCTAGCCAGGACTAAAAGAAGTAGTAGAATCCTGTCGAGGGAAAAATCTATTTTTTTCTACCAATATTGACGATGCTATCAAAGAAGCTGATCTGGTATTTATTTCCGTAAGTAGTTTCCTTTGCTACATGAATTGTAGTGTATTCTTATCTCTCTGAAAGCTTTCATTGTACTTTAACTTGCTATTAAACCACACCACGGCTTACTACAGAGATGTCTGATTTAATTTTGCCTCTCACTTGCCCAGAAGCCATCTGGTTGGGTTATAATTTCAAGTCATTTAACAAGTGAACTCCGAGCAAGTTGTAATCTGGGCTCTAGAGCCAGGAAAGAGTGGTAGCACATGAGCATGTGTCATGATAGTATCTACAGTGAAACTTTTTCCAAGTTTCTGTTCACAAACTGAATTGGATGAGAAATGAATCACATACCATGGTGATGGTTGACCTTGTGGAGAAATTTGATTCAGTTCTTGAAGTATGTTTTAAAAGTCATAGCCTTTTTTTCCCTTCTTTTTCTCCTTGAAATAAAATGGATTTGGAAAACAAAATAAAATCAAGTAAAAGTCATACCCTTGTAAGCTGCATATTCCTGTAATTCTAGCCCTCGGGAGGCTAAGGCGCGAGGATCCTTGCAAGTTGGTGGCCAGCCAGAATTATAGCAAGACTATGTCTCAAAAAAATTTCTTTTTGTTTGTTTCTTGAGACAGAGTTTCACTCTATAGTTCAGGCTGGCTTTGAACTTGCTTTGTAGCTCAGGCTGGCCTCAAACTCGTAAGGGTCCTCCTACTTTCCCCTCCTGAGAGTATGGCTGGGACTACAGGCTGTGTCACCATGCCCAGCTCCCAGTGGCCTGTGTGCCGCTACTCTAGTTGCCGTCCTCAGCTCCTCTGTGTGATGGGTGCTTGTCACGGTTGGCAGCTGAGCCGTAGTGTTTCTTAAACGCAGACCTCGTGATCTTGGAGAACAAGGAGGACGATGTGAGATTGGACAGAGGCGCTGGGTGAACCGAAGAAACACCGGGGCCCAGGGAGACATGAGCGGTTGAGTTGGTTTTGGAGATTGTTGAGGACCGTAGAGCAGGGAATAGAAGGGTCCTTGCAGCCCTCAGACTGGGCAGGCTGCGAGGTGTGCGGACTCGAGGGGAGTTGCGATAGGAAGCTGGCTGCCTCCTGGCCTCCATCACTGGAGAACCTGACGTAGGTCTGCGGATTTCCTGCCATCCTTTATCTACACAGAATAGAAAGTGTTTTACAGTAACTAGATTCTTTGAGAAAAATCAAGAAGCTACATTAGTCCAGCTAATGGGTGACCAGAGCCTGCACTGGGACTAGGGGTATTTTCTGTGAAAGGACGTTTAAAAATAATCTGTTCATGGTGACAGCCTCTTTTCTCAGGATTGTCTGACATAAGTAGGTGATTTCATGCTTGCCTCACCACCCGAGGTCTTTCAAAGCTATTATTTTGTGCTTGTTCGGTGAATTTATTACTGTGTAACTCGCAGTCTACAGGTTAGTTGCCTTGAGTCTCTAGGTCATATTGTTTTGTTTTCTTTTTGAAAGAAGACATGGCAAATATTAAACTTTTGCAACAATAAAAAACACATTAAGCAACTTTTTCTACCTGCTTTTCAGGGCTCAGTTTTTAAGCTTTTATCTATTTTGGAGGATGGTGTGTGTTTTTTGTTATTTGATGGGGGACTCCAGCTCAGGACCTTGAGCTTGCCACTGAGCTGTGTCATCAGCCCCTAGCTATGATTTATTCTGTTTGATTCCTTTCTTTAGTCTCTGAATAGGCCATAAACTTACAAACAGAAGGTAATGCTGCTTACTACTTGTTAAAAACTTACTTCTGTTTTCATTAAGTTTTAGACTTTTCAGAGTACACATTTTTATCAGCACTTTGGCACCTGTGTCTTAGTTTTTTTTTAATACTGGGAATCGAACTCACAACCTTATGCTTGTCAGGCAGGTGCTGTGCCCTGAGCTATGTCCCCAGCCCTGTTGTGTTAGTTTTTAAAGGGTATGTTATCCTCATTTTCTAATGAGGTATAGAGGCAGAAGCAGCCACACTTCCTCAGGGTGATGTTTAGACTCTGGACTATAATTTGTTTTTATTTCCATTTTAAAGTCTTTGTGTACATAGTATTCTGTATCCTGGGGCTCCCAGGGATTTTCCGACTTTATTTATTTATTTTTTCAAATCCATTTTATCCAAACATAAATTTTTCTGACTTTAATGAAGTAAGAAAGTACCTATGAACATTTTTTAGATGTTGATAGGAAATTGTAGAGGCAGGGAATAAGGAGAGCATTTAAGCCAGGTATGGTAGTCTAATCTCAGCACTTGGGAGGCTGAGGCAGAATGATCACCATGGGTTTGAGGCCAGCCTAAACTGCATAGAGACCTTGTCTCAAAAAGTGGGGTGGGGAGAGTATAACATTTATTTTTAAAGAATATAATGTATTACATACAACAAATAAAGAGACAAAAGAAAACTTTCATTTCAGACTATAAACTCCTGTAAGGAGCTCTCATTCATTTCAGTCTCCAGGGCTCAGCTTGGAACCTGTCTGCCTTGATGCCTGGCGTCAGTAGCTTAGTGAAAAACCTTACTGAACCTTGCCTTGATGGGTGAGGGTGTGTGTTCTGGTGGTTCCCTTTGTAGAATGTGTCTTCAGTGGAAGTGAGAGCGGCGAGATGCTGGGCTTGTGGGCTCCCACTTGACCAGTGAGCCTGAGTGTGGGGCGGTGGCAGCCGAGCTACCTCTCACGCCTCGCCACTCTTCCTGCAGGTGAACACGCCGACCAAAACCTATGGCATGGGCAAAGGCCGGGCGGCCGACCTCAAGTACATTGAAGCCTGTGCCAGACGCATCGTGCTAAACTCCAACGGGTACAAAATCGTGACCGAGAAAAGCACGGTTCCGGTTCGGGCAGCAGAAAGCATCCGTCGCATATTCGATGCGAACACAAAACCCAACCTGAATCTGCAGGTATAAGAATAGGAGGCGGTGGGACCGGCTGGCCTCATGTGCCGTTGACGTCTTCAAGTTGCCCTTTGTTAATTCAGCTTGCGCTTGCCTTGCATTGGGGTGCCAGGTGCTGTCCAACCCCGAGTTCTTGGCTGAGGGGACGGCCATCACGGACCTGAAGAACCCGGACCGAGTGCTGATCGGAGGGGACGAGACGCCAGAGGGCCAGAAGGCGGTGCGGGCCCTGTGCGCTGTGTACGAGCACTGGGTTCCCAAAGAAAAGATCCTCACCACCAACACCTGGTCTTCAGAGCTGTCCAAACTGGTGCGTCCGGAGTTTTAGCCCTCCCTGCGTTGCGTGTGGTGTTGGAGACAGGCTGTCCCTGTGTCGGCCAGGCTGGCCTTCAACTCCAGCGCGCGAGTGACTGTCTTGTCTCGGCCTCCCGGTAGGAGGTGTGGTGTGGACAGGCGTCACTGTGCCCTGTGTGCTCTCCACTAAACTTAAAGCCGAGTGTTTCTCGTAAGTCCTATAAGCACACCATATACATGGTTTTGGTTGTGTTTTGTGGCACTGGGGATTGAACCTCGGATCCTTGCTCTCATATCTCAGTCTTTTTTATTTTTTATTTTGAGACACAGTCTCTCATTAAATTGCCCAGATTAGACTTGAAATTGTCATTCTGTGTTTTGGTATTTTGAGACGGGCTCGCTGTGTAGTCCAGGCTGGCCTTGACCTCACCCTGTAGCCCTGGTTGGCCTAGAACTCGCAGTAATCCTCTTGCCTTGGCTTCCCGGGCACTAGAATGACAAGTGTGCACCCCATGCCTGTCATCATAATTTTGTCTTTTATTACCCTTTCTCTGCCTTTAACCTCCTCTTAGCTGTCTTCCTAATTTAAAGTAAACTCCCTTACCTGACCTTCCACTATCTCATCAGCATTTTTATTTTATCAGTAATTTGCATCAACTCCAGTAAAATACAAAAGTGCTGCACAAAGTTGCTACTTCAGCTCATCAGACCTTCCCCCTCTTCTTTTTTAAAGACAGCAAATGCTTTTCTTGCCCAGAGAATCAGCAGCATTAACTCCATAAGTGCCCTGTGTGAAGCAACCGGAGCGGATGTGGAAGAGGTGGCTACGGCCATTGGGATGGACCAGAGGATCGGAAATAAGTTCCTGAAAGCCAGTGTTGGTAAATAGACGCGCTCTCTTCCGGAGGGGCTTCGTGTGGCTGGGTCCCTAAGGATCTTTTTTTTCACTTATCCTTAAGAAAACCAAAACAACAAGAAGGATTGTTATCCTCACGGGGATGAAGGGAGGTGATATTCCCTCCTGTTGTTAACAGTAAGCCACTGATCAGTGCATTAATGTAGAGGAAAACTGTTTTCACTGTTAGTGGTATAAACATCGTTCAGTATTTTGGGAAACCATATAGGAAATAACTCATTAACAACTTGGTTAAGCAAGTAGGAAATAAACTTCCTCTTGTTTGTTTTTCCTACTGATAAACATTTGATGGGTGAAGTGTCACCAGTCCTTAGATTCCCGGCTTGGCTTAGTGACACTGCTGGTCCACACTCCGTGCCGCCACCGTGGTTCTCCACGTGTCCAAGCGGCCGAGCTTGCACAAGGCCTCGCTTCACCTTGGTGCCCAGCTCTCATCCTGTCACCAAGGGCCTTCTCGTGGTGCATTTCATACAGTGGTTTCCACATGTCTCTGCTTTGAGGTACAGACTTTTCCGCTTAAAACAGCCACAAGCCTAGGGCTGAAGTGTGAGGAGACAGCGGCCCTGGTCTCATGGAGCGCTAGGACAGCGTCACTCAAGTGTGAGTCCTAGAACTGCTGGCCACAGCCTCACTATTAGCGAAGCAGCAATTACACTCAGCTGCGTACATCTGGGCAGACGCACAGTGAAACAGGCTCTGTGCTCATCTCTTGACCATAACGTGAGCAGGAGCTTGTGGGCACCTGACCTGGGTTTCTCCCGGGAGCAGGGCTTCAGCACTCACGGACTCGGGTGTCAGGGCGACTTTGTGAATCATGAGCGCTGACTAGTTCTGCATCTAAACTAATGCAGTGGTGTAATAGTCAGTAGAATATTTTGCAGATGGCGCCATCGGCAGACTTGCTAGTGTTTCTAGAGCTGTGTTTCATTTCCCAGTACAGAATTCTGTGGCCTTTTATAAGCCTGTTCTTTTTGATGTTTTCTTCTAGTTATAATTTAACAAAAATAGCTGGGGCTGGGGATTTAGCTCAGCGGCATGAGCGCCTGCCTTGCAAGCAGGCAGTCGTGAGTTCGATCCCCGATACCGATAAAAACAAAAACAAAAACAAAAATAGCTACTATTTACTGAAGTAATATGAAGTATCATGTTGTATACTAGCACTTTATCTCATTTTCTCTCTATAATAGGGAAGTGCTGTGATCTCCTTTTTTAAAGATAATTGAAATACTTACTCTCTGGCCCTTTACCGTAAAAATTTGCTGAAAACTGGTAGAGTAGGAGGTAGAGGGCACTCATACCAAAAATGAGGAAAAAATAGATAGAAGACAGCCAGGCCCGGTGGTGCTCGCCTGCAATCCCAGCACTTGGAGGCTGAGGTGAGTCAGTCACCGTGGGTTTGAGGCCAGCCTGGGCTACACAGCAAGACTCTGCCTCAAAAGAAAAAAAAAAAGAAAGAAAAGAAAAGCCGGGCTGGGGATTTAGCTCAGCGGCATAAGCGCCTGCCTTGTAAGCAGGCAGTCGTGAGTTCGATCCCCGGTACCGATAAAAATGAAAAAGACAAAAAAGAAAAAAAGAAAAGAAAAGTCAAAATACAGCCATAATGAAACTTTGGTTAGAGAATCATTGGGAAATCACTTAAAGAGTTGGTTAGTTGGCTATAAGTTTCACATAATTTATAAACCCACTAACTTTCTAACATCTGAGTTTTACTATTTAAAACTTAGTGTAGGCCCTCAGATACACATTGTACAATTTGCCACATAATTTGGCTTCTGCTTCTTATATGAAAGTATTGTTTTTCTTCCACCAGGTTTTGGTGGAAGCTGCTTCCAAAAAGATGTTCTGAATTTGGTTTACCTCTGTGAGGCTCTGAATTTGCCTGAAGTAGCTCGTTACTGGCAGCAGGTATTACTCTTTATATCCATAACTGCTGGTTAGAGTGTAAGTAAAACTGTTAGCTATCTGAAATGTTTTTGAAGGACTCCATTCCAGGAGCTCAGTGAGTTTACTTGTTTTAGGTTTATTTATGGGGCGTCTGTGCTTTCCGATTTTTTTTTGTTTTTGGTTGATGAACTAGAGTGGAAATTTCTGATAAACCAGTATTTCTTCTCGTTTTATAACGAGAAGAAATTTATTCCCAGAGTAAATGGACAGCTAATATTATTCCCACTTAGAATTCTTCTCCACCCTGAAAGGTATACAATCAAGGAAGAGCCTATACTAGGACTGTCGTTCAGGTGGTTTGCCCCGTTGGTGCTTGTTTCATCCCTCTCATTCTCAGAGCTAACACGAGAGCCCTTCCTTCTCACACAGGAAGCCCTGAGGGAACGCAGCCTGAGTACCTGCCCTGCGCTGCTGACGCTTGGCGCCGTCGATGCAGCTTCTCCCTGTCTGCAGCACTAGCATTATTCATGCCACCTGTGGATGGAGGGGTGGCAGGTGTTTTTTGAGAGAGATCCTCGCTGTGTCATTCAGGCTGATCTTGAACTCATCATGTAGCCCAGGCTGGCCTGGAACTAGTGGCGGGTGCTGGGAATATGTACGTGGATCACCACGCCTGGCAAACTCCCATTTTCAGATAATGGAATGGACAGAGATTTTAAGTGATTTTCAAATGTACTAGCCAGTCTATGTATCCTTCCCCAATATTGTTCCTGAGTTTATAGTTTTTCAGATTTCACCAAAAGACCTGGGAGAGAATCTAAGGAAACGTTCACTTTTTTAGGGAAACATTTTGTGTCGTTTCACTCAGTCCATCAGTAGCTTTATCTCTCCATTCACTGTGTGCAACGTGCTTTTCTACTGCTTTGGCCTCCTTTCCCAGGCCCTCCAGGTTGACACGGGCGTAGAGCCTGAGAAAAGATCTTTTTCTAGTTCAGTCTGCTACCAACCTGAACTTAACAGAGCAAAGACTGCTGAGCAGACTCTTTCTCGGTTCCAGCCCTTGTCGCATACTGAAATGCTTGTAACGTGCTCGGCCGGAGGCAGCTGTAACTCAGCACGCTGTATGACCCGAGCAGTTCCTCCTCGCGATTTTATCAGTCCCTGTTGCAGTACACAGTGGCTGACGGTGCACACAGCACAGCTTCATTCCCTGGACAGCGCCACCCCTCGCCCACCTTGGTGGCTGGGCCCTGCAGGCAGATGCAGACTGCCTTGCCTCACAGAACGTGGGGTTGTTGGCTGTGGGCAGCGCTGTCTGCCCTCATCGCTGGATCTAAGTTAAAGCTCAGCTGTACGGCCCATCTTTGCATACACCCCAGACCGATGCGTGCACATCAACCCTGTGAAAATAAAATGATTGGGATGGCTTTAAGGAAGGGTGTGGGTGGTTCGTTGAGTTTTTATTTAACTCTGAGTAATGTGTGTCAGGGCTGCATTTCTGTGAATGAGTCTCACCACCACGTGTGAATTTCAGGTCATAGACATGAATGACTACCAGAGGAGGAGGTTCGCGTCCCGAATCATTGACAGTCTGTTCAACACCGTCACTGACAAGAAGATAGCTATTCTGGGCTTCGCATTCAAAAAGGATACCGGCGACACGAGGTATCAGTGCTTTAAAGTATTTCAAATCTCTTGTTATCATGACCTCTTGATTGTGTATGTGAAACACATGTGCGTCTCTATTTATAGCATAAGAAATAAACCATAAAAATAGCCACAGTCTCACCTCTCAGCTTGATAGCATCTCTCTTGCACCTTCAGGTCCCCGGTGTTAGCATAACAAGCAACACTGATTTGTTTTCCTGCAGAGAATCCTCCAGTATCTACATTAGCAAATACCTGATGGACGAAGGTGCCCACCTCCATGTGTACGATCCCAAAGTGCCCAGGGAACAAATTGTTGTGGATCTCTCTCACCCAGGGGTTTCACAGGATGACCAAGGTAAGGCCCAGAGTCTCACGAATCATCTTGCTTACAGACCCCACAAATTGTTTCCCAGAAACCTTTGATCAGACCGTTTCCAGCCTGTGTCTCACAGGTGTGCTTGGTCTTCAATCTCCGATCTCTAAGATCACACCCAGTTCAGTTCTGTGAGATTACTGCCTCCTCACCCTGAAGCGATCGGCCGTGGGTTGGACCCGTGAACGATCCTAACTGCTTTCTTGTTTCTGGCTTTTTGTGCTGATCGTGGTGTAGTGTCCCGACTTGTAACCATTTCCAAGGACCCCTATGAAGCGTGTGATGGGGCCCATGCTGTTGTCATTTGCACCGAGTGGGACATGTTTAAGGTGAGGTGACAGCAGTGCTTCGGAGGAGGATGCTAGAGGCCCAAGTGTGTGTGTGTGTGTGTGTGTGTGTGTGTGTGTGTGTGTGTGTGTGTATGTGTGTGTGTGTGTGTGTGTGTGTGCTAGAGGCCCGTCTGTGTGTGTTTGTGTGTGTGTGTGTGTGTATGCTAGAGGCCCAAGTGTGTGTGTGTACCCAGGAGTGTGCACTGTCCTCTGATCGTCCCTGCGGTGTCTCCACAGGAGCTGGATTACGAACGCATTCATAAAAAGATGCTCAAGCCAGCCTTTATCTTCGACGGGCGCCGCGTCTTGGACGGACTCCACGGCGAGCTGCAAGCCATTGGGTTCCAGGTACTTGTGATTCTGGACTCTCATCTTTGTTCATTTTCTTTATAAACACATTGTGTGGGTTTTAGAATGCTCCTATTTTCTTACTTAGCAATAAGTCATTCTGGGACAAGATGTCAGTTTTCTGGAGTGTCTGATTTCTGTAATAATTCCATTCCCTCTTAAGTTTTTCTTGGATTACAGGTATGCGCCACCATGCCCAGCCCCTCCTAAGTCTGTGATACAAAATTTAGTGTTGGTCTGCCTTACGAGCATCTGTGAGGGTGTCAGCTGCCTGTCATAAGGAGACCTCACCTTACCTCATATCAGATGATCAAGCAGAAAATCCTCGAATGTATTTTCCAAACTGCAGGATGCACCATGGTTATCATACAGTGTCAGCACTGTGTTCATTACTATTCTAGATGGGCCAGTGCCCCTGTAGTCTTCTCCTTAGTGCCTGGACAGGAGGAGTGCAGGTTTGAAGTCAGCCTGCACATTTAGCAAGATCTTGTCCTAAAATTTTAAAAAGCAGGCTCGGGTTGTAGCTCAGCAGTGCCTGGGTTTAATCTCTAGTACCACAAAAACCAAAACCCTCACCAGATCTTCCTTCTCAGTAGTTCATGCAGGTCCTTTGTACTTGGAATTCAGTGCCCATTTCTCATATGTGAGTCACAGCAGGAGCCAGACAACACCCTCACATCCTCCCTTCAGGGCCTCGAAGATCCCTCTGTCCCACCCAGCATGAGTTTCCCGGTTGTGACTCAAACTCAGGAACATTATTTCATTTTTATTTATTTTTGTTTTGTTCCTTGAGACAGGGTCTCACTATGTGCAGGCTGGCTTTGAACTTGCTTATGTAGCCCAGGCTGGCCTCAAACTCATGGTGATGCTCCTGCCTCAGGCTCCTGAGTGCTGGGATTACAGAATTCATCACCACATCTGGCAGAGATACTATTTTTGAAGGGTTTTTTCCATCTTCCCCCTCATTCCTGTCTTACTCATCTTGTGGGAAAAGACATAGAAATATACATATTTAAAATGATTTTGAGTTCTTCTAAAGTTAACCTTCTCTAGAAGGATTAAAAAGGCAGTTAGGAATGGAATGATACAGGGAGCTATAAGACTCTAAGACGGCAGCTTAACACAAGGCAGAGCCCTTTCCTTGCCATATAGGTCAGATTAAGTATTAATTTTTAATTATAAACTAGAAAAATGAAGTGGTGTATTTTTCTTTGCTGTGGAGGGAAGATAAATTTAGGACTGTTAGCAGGGGGTGGTGGTCCATACCTGTAATCCATTCACTGGGAGGCAGAGGCAGGAAGATGGCACATTTGAAGCCAGCCTGCCTACCCTGTCGTAAAACAAAACCAAAAATTCCCATGTGGACTATTAAGGAAGTAGTGTCTTCTGAAAAAAAAATGAGTTTTAATATATGACAGATATACAATATAAAATCCATCATTTCTTGAGGTCTGGCTTGTTGTACACTAACCAACTGTAATGTAATTCTTGCTGCAACCTTTTGAGGTAGGTGACGGCGAAGGCCTAGAGAATTCAGGTAACAGAGTAAGTTTCTGTCCAGATTCCAGCAGGGGCCGTTCAGACTCTGAAACTGGCACTGTTAAGAACTATGCTATGCAACCTCTGCAGCTTTCACTTCGGCTTTTCCTTTCTCTTTCTTTCTTTGTGTTTTTTTGAGGCAGGGTTCTGTAGCCCAGGCTGGCTGTAATGTCACAGCAGTCCCCCTGCCTCCGCCTCCCAAGTGCAGGGAATTTTCTGTCATTGTCTTCCTGTCATTCGTTTCCTTTTTATTTTTTAAATTTTCTTTTTTCTCTTCACCCATCTCTTTAACATTTTATCTTTTATTCTCTCTTCCCTTTCCTTCTTCTTTCCCTCCCCCTGCCTTTCTCTCTCTCTGTGTGTGTCTAGCCAGCTCTCTAGCTCTCTTTCTATCCTTCTGTGGATTTTTTGAGATAGGATTGTGCTGTGTATCCCAGACTGACCTTGAACTGGTGGTGATCCTCCTGCCTCAGCCTCCCAAACACTGGGATTACAGGTGGACTCTTTTACACCTAGCTTCTTCTCTTTTCTTTTGCTGTTAATAAGTAATGGTATTTTTGCTCATTTCGGAGATTTTAATCCACGGCCACCGGCCTGCAAGTTTTAGTGTAAGGAAAATGGACATGAGAATAGAGCAAGTGGCACTGTGAGCTACGGAACCTGCCCTGGGCACTGCTTTCCTGCGTGGCTTAGAGAACCTGAGGACACAGGATTGTCCACGCTGCCGTGCGAGGCACTTGCTGGAGAATGGCAGGAGGACACGGTCTTGATACGAACATGCGATTAGAAACAGAGAATAAAAAAGGAACCCAAGATCTCTCACGGCAACTCAGAAAACCTGAGTAACTTTTTCTGTTTGTGAAAAAAAAAATCTTGATTTTCTGCCTTCCTATACTATGTTACAGTTGCCACACCTGTGTGTTGTAACCATCAGTAGTTCTCATTACAATTTTTTTCCTCTCCAGATTGAAACCATTGGCAAAAAGATATCTTCAAAGAGAATTCCATATGCTGCTTCCGGTGAGATTCCGAAGTTCAGCCTTCAGGACCCTCCGAACAAGAAGCCCAAAGTGTAGACAGTGGGGGTTTTTATTTATGACCATTGCTTGGGAGGCTGAGGCCACTTCACGATAGCAGACATCTGATATGAAAATGGTGAATGAGCCAAGTTGTTTTTAAGGAAACAAAATTATTTTTTTAATAATCATGTTTATACTAACTATATGGCTATTAGCGTAGCGTATCTGATAGTTATGAATCTGGGATATTTTTACATATTTTTATATAATTAGCTCAGTTATGGGATGAATAGAAAATAATCATGTTGGTTTTAATCATGTCAATTTTTATAAAATAAAAATTAAACTTAAAGGGCTGGGGATTTAGCTCAGTGGCATAAATGCCTCCCTGGCAAGTACGGAGTCATGAGTTTGATCCCTAGTACCAGGAAAAAAAAAAGAAAAAACTTAAAAACACTTTTTACAATTGTCTACAGGCAGCACTTTAATGTCACATTATAAAGGGAAAGGTGTTTGGTTTTTTTTTAAAACCAGTTTATTTGCTTGTTGTTAAGTATATAGTTTCAAGCCGTGAAATTATTTTGCTAACTGGGCTTTGTAAGTATACTCTGGTTACAGTTCTTTGTTCTCTCATTTTAATGCAATGTGCCATTGATTTTTTTAGCCCAAAAAGATAATCACTGTGCATTTCCAACCACTCTACCTTGATGAGTGCACCCTTTTGAAAAAAATATTTAGCTGTGTGTGATGTGACACACCTGTAATCCCAGCAATTGGGAGGCTGAGGCAGGAGAATCACTGTGAGTTCAAGCACAGCCTGGGTTTCATAGCAAGACCCTGTCTCAAAAAAAAAATTTAACACAGAGTCTGGCCTGGTTGCTATTTCATAGCTTTCCTTATCAGTTATTACTTTTCTAGTCTAGAGTCAAAAATGTTTGCTACCTGTATACTGCATTTTTATTTCTGTTGATTGTAATGTTTCCTTTAAGAAAACCAGTGTATCTTCTACATAAACTACAAGATTTTACAAGTTAGATATGGCATTATTCTAAAGTAAAAATTTCTGTCTGTATTCCTTTCTGCTTTTTTCTTATGCCTCTCGTTAACCTACACTCACAGCAGTTGTGTTAGCTCATGGTTGTCATTGCTGAATGTGTCAGCTGTCCTTCGGTGCTCCGTTCTGCCAAGTACAGACTTAGTTAAACAGACAGGGGCTCCCCTGTCTCACAAAAGGGCATCAGCTATGAAGAGGAGGCAGAGACATCGTGTGGATAACAAATACATAAGTGAAACAAACACCACATGTCAGCAGCTGTGTACGTGCTGATTTATCGTGGAGAAAGTCCCTCATGAGTCATGGTGCTCCCATAGGCGGGAAGAAATCACTGCCCACTCTCTAGAGAAAAAGGCTTCGCGTTATTCTTTCAAATGATCAAGAAAGGAAAGGGAGACGGGATTTAGCTCAGCAGCATACGCATATGCCTTGCAAGTGTGCAGTCCTGAGTTCAATCCCAGGTACCAAAAACAACGGAATTTAAATTCAGCAAGTAGCTGGACCTGGACAACTACTGTCCACGGGCCAAGACTGCCCAGCCACATGGGAGCTGAGAATGGTTTTGATTTCATATGTTACATTTCAGATGGTTCTCAAGTCTCTATGTAACACCCTCAGTTTGCCTCTTGGTCTGAAAGTTACAAAAATATTTGCTATCTGACTCTTTTAAGAAAACATTTGCAAGCTGTTGAGATGCACATCAGAGGAGTTTGAGGCCGTAAGATGACTGACTGACTGACTGACTACTCTTGGTACACAGTCCAGGTTGGCCTTGAACTCACTGTGTATCCTGTGCTCACTCACATTCTTTTAAACCCAATTTGAGTGCTTAAAAATGACAATCAGTTACAAAATAAAATCATTTGAAGGAAATAAAATATGAAGTATTAAAATTTAAAACTGTTTAGAAAATAAGTTGGAGCATTTTTGGAACTTTGGAATTTTTTTTTTTTTATTTTCAAGGTGGGGTTCTCACAATATAGGTCAGGCTGGCCTCAAACTTGTGATGATCTTCCTGCCTCAGCCTCCCGAGTGCTGGGATTACAGATGTGCTAGCTACTATTTTGGGGATGGGAATGATGAATGTTACTAGTAGTAATCCTGGCTCTTGGCACTCATCTCAAAAAAAAACAAAACAAAAGAAAAATATATGGACATGTAAAGACATTCAAATAGATTTATTTATTCATTCATTCATTTTTGGTACCAGGAATCAAACTCAGGACCTCATGATTGCCAGACTGGTTCTGTGCTGCTAAGCTGTATCCTTGGCTCTCAAATAGATTTTTTTAAAGTATGTATAAAATAGAATCTCATCTGGGTATGATGGTGCACTCGGGTAGTACAAAAATACAGAAACCTCTTTCCCTTAATTTATTCTCTGGAAATCACCTGTCATTCCACCTGTCTTCTAGCTCCACCTGTCAGTCTAGCTCCACAGCCTCCTAGGGTGTGGTATTTGGCTAAGTTGCTTGAAAGCTTTGTTCTCCCCCTCAGTAAATGGAGGTGATCCCTCTGCCGCAGGGGTGGCTGAGGATTGTGTGACAATCCCGTTCTTCAGGCTGTGGCTGGCGGGCAAGTGCGCCTGGTAGGCATCCTGACAAGCTGGTCCCTCTGGGATGGGAACCCAGGCCCTTCACACAGAACTCACCCTCAGCCCTTAATTTTTAACCTCTGAGACCAAGTTTCACCATTTCACCAAACGTTGAGCAGCATGGGCTGAACTTGTGATGCTCCTGTCTCAGCCTCCCAAGATACATGCACATACCCACTCACTGGTATAGTAATTAACACTGGTCATTGTGTGCACCCCAGCCCCTTAGTGCATTTTCTTATCTGTTCTTCACACGTGTTGGGATAGGTAAGTTCCTGATTTTCAGATGAAGAGCAGAAGGCCAAGATTGTTAAGTAGCTCGCTCAGTGTCACACATTCAAATGTGGCAAAGCTAGATTTCAGGTTGTTTCACTCCAGCTGCCCAGGTGTGGAAGCACCTGCCTATAATCCCGATTTGGGAGGCTGAGGCAGGAGGATTGCTGTGAGTTTGAACTGGCCTGGGCTATAGGAGCAAGTTCAAGGCCAGCCTGCCTATGTAGTAAGCCACTGCCTTAAAAAAAAAAAAAAAAAAAAAAGGAAAGGACAAACTTTCACCCTGGTTTTAGCTTCTACAGATGATCCCTGTCCTAATGAATTGTTATGGCAGTGACAGTTCCAACCTGTTACCAGCTGCCCCCAGGTTAGCTCATCCTAACTAAAGTCCTTCAGGCCCAGGGATGTGGCAGAGCGCTTGCCGAGTGTGCACAAGCTTCTGAGGTGACCCCAGCACTGCAAATCAAAGGGCTTCACAGTGGGTGACTAGATCCAGTTAGGTGCTAAGGAGCAGAAGTCAGGCCAGATGTGATGGTGCAGGCCTGTAATCCCAGCACTCTAGGAAGCTGAGGCAGGAGGATCCAAGTTCAAGCCCAGCACAGGCCATTTAGCAATTTGCAAAGACCCTGTCCTGACGTGGAAGTAAAATGTGCTAGGGCTGTAGTTGTAGAAAAGTCCTGGGGGAAGAAGCAGACCAATCAGAGGATCTTGAGAGACACTGAGGCCGCTACACCCATGACTCTTCGTGCAGGATGAGAACAAAGACCTGTGTGGGACCTGAGGCTGAGAAAGACAGGAGGCTCCTGGGAGGAGGTCAGCACTGGAGGTTAGAGACCCCTGGGAAGGCGGGCAGGGGGGAAGTCCTGGCCAGTTCGGGGAGGAGGTAAGCATGCAGAAGAGTGTCTGGGATGGGTGAAGAGCTTTGATCTGGGCCTCGCTGAGCTGTCAGAGGGAGACACTGATGACTGCACAAGGCTCTGAATGTATCTGAGGCTCCCGAGTTATATACTTGGAAACAGTTAATGGAAACTTCATTTTCCCCAGTAAACAGAGCCCAGGGCCTCACACATGCCAAGCAGGTGCTCTGCCACTCAGTTACACCTCAGCCCCTGCTTTAAACATGTAGTCACTTGCTTTTAAAAAAAAAAAAAAAAAGGCAGGGGAGAGGACTGGGGATTTAGCTCAATGGCACAAGCACCTGCCTGGCAACTACAAGACTGTAACCCTAACCCTAACCCTAACCCTATATATATATACACACACACACACCTGGGCCAGGCGTGGTGGTGTGCACCTGTAATCCTAGCACTTAGGTGGCTCAGGCAGGAACATCACTGTGAATCTGAGGCCAGCCTGAACTGCACAGCAGGACTCTGTCTCAAAAACAAAACAAAAAATTTTAAAAAGACCTAGTTTTGTTAGTCACAGGAGAGTCATTCAAGCCTTGAACACTACGGAGCCAGAAACTTATAGCGTTACCACACAGGGATGGTGATCAAGTCTGAAACCTGGCCAGAAACTGGGAAGAAAGGGTGCCAGTGCCTGGCAAAATAAGACACCATGAAGGGCCCTTACTTCACAGCAACCCTGCTCCTTGTCTCTTTTTTTTCTGAACACACAGATAAGAGACCACTCAGAAGGTTCCATATCTTACTGTTTACTGTTAGTAACTTGGAGGTGTGCAGGTGAATATATATCTTAATTTTTTTGTTTGTTTATTTTTGAGACAGGGTCTCACTAATTTGTTCAGGCTGGGCAAGGCCTCAAATGATACCTGGCTCAAAATTAAAAAGGGCTAGAGAGGGTAGCTCAGGGGTGGATGACTGGCCTAGTATGCACAAGGCCCTGGCTTCAGTCCCTGGTGCAGCAATTTAAAAAAAGGCCAGGCATGGTGGCTCAAGACTGTCATCCCGGCATTTAAAAGGCTGAGGCAAGAGGATGCTTCAAGTTCAAGGCCAGCCTGAACTACACAGCAAGACCAAATCTCAAAGAATAAAAATGGGCTGGGGATTTAGCTCAGCGGCTCAAAGCACTTGCCTGGTACACTCAAGGTCATGAGTTTGATCCCTAGTACCAAAAAACAAACAAATAAGAATATATACTATAGTTCTTATTTGGACAAAAAAAAGTTATGTAGATTTTATGAGTGACTGGAGTTAGAGAAACATAGTAGTGGATGGCATAATTTTTTTTCTCTGGTCTTTTTTGAGATGGGGTCTCCATATGCAGTTCAGGCTGGCCTTGAGCTCACTTTGTAGCCCAAGCTGGTCTCAAACTCAAAACGATCCTCCCACCTCAGCCTCCCACTCCTCAGCCGAGTTCTGGAAGTACATGTGTGACCCACCACACCCGATTTTAATTATTAACCTAAAGCTAGGTAATTATCAGGGATGTTAGCTTTTCTAAGATTAATGCCCAAGCCTACATGGTGGCAAGATATATAAGTGTAAATTACAATGTGTTTTCTGTTTGCTTGCAATGATTTTCAGTTGTGACCCAAGCATCTACAGAGGTGCTTCTTCAACCCTGCAAGTAACAAATTTAAATATAAGTAAATATATGTGTGTGTGCATACCTGGATATATGTGACACATATACAGTACAATATAGGTGTGAAACTACCTACAAAGCTATTACGTAAAAAGCAACAGATCTGGGTATGGCAGACATACCTATTACCCCAGCACTCTGGGAGGCTGAGGCAGGAAGCCTTCAAGTTTGAGTGCAATCTGGGCAATTGAGCAATTTAGTGACACCTGCCTTTAAAAAAGGCAACAGACACGCAGGGTTTTTGGTCAGCATGGAACCGAGCACACATGCATACCTTTCCCCTTCAGGGGACAATGACACAGTGAGGGGCAGAGAGAGCGGGGAAGTGTGACTTGAAGGGGCCTCGGGTTGTGTCTGTGTCCTGAGTGGGGAGGAGCAGAGGACGGTGCTCACTGGACCCCTGCAAGCACAGTGGGGATGAGCTGCTGAGCACAGACCTGGGGCTCAGCTGCCCAGAGGCCACAGGACAAGCAGCCAGAGCACCAAGTCCTCCTCCCAGCCCAAGGACTAAGCAGGGCAAAGGCACCAGGGAGCTAGGCTCTGAGGCACCTGCCTGGAATCCCAGCATTTTTGAAGGCCGAGGCAGGAGGACTGCAAGTTT